TTATATTTTTACTACAGTAAAATGCAGGACTTTTAGTTGTAATTAAGTATTTTGACAGGAGTGTATGAGTACTTTTACTAAAGTAAAGCATCGGAACACTTCCTCCTCCTCTGATCCCGCGGTGGTTTCACACTTTGTTCCACGTTGACTGTTTCTGTGTATTTGCACGTAAAATATCACAAACTCATGCCTTAATGCAGCCGGTCCCTCGGTGCTACTCAAACATCGTCACAGCAGAGATGTAGAAAACTCATATTTTTCCTCACTTTGCAAATTGTGCAGACGCTCGGCTCGACTTTTCAGCTCATTGAAGATTCATGAGAAATCTTGGAGGGATTTGTTGATTTGTTTCCTGAGCTGCAGCGTCTTTTATCCCTGAGCTGGAGGGAAGCTGCCAGAAGCATTGTGATCCCCAAAGAGAGACATTAGACACAGCTAATAATCCTTAATAGAAAGAGATCGTCAGCTCTTCATCATTTTAACAAACACTGTAATCAAGCTTTTGTTTTCACATGTGAGTCTGTGCATTTAGACAGGTAGCAATTCATGACAGAAAGTAGACAGGCAGGTAGTTTGACAAACAGGTGAACAGGTAGGAAGACAGACAGGTAGTTTCACAGGTATCCAGTTTGACAGGTAGGTAGTTAGATCAGCAGGTAAACAGGTAGGAAGACAGGCAGGTTGGTAGACAGGTAGATAGTTGGAAATTAAAGGTAGCTTGACAGGTAGGCAAACTGGTGGGTAGTTTCAGAGTTTGACAAGTAGGTAGCTTGATAGACAGGTAGTTTACCAGGTAGATAGTCAGGTAGATAAACAGGTAGATAGACAAGTAGGCAGTTGGACAGGTAAGTAGGTAGACAGACAGGTAGTTTCAGAGGTAGACAGGTAGGTAGAGGGACAGGTAGGTAGACAAGTAGGTAGAGGGAAAGGTAGACAGACAGATAGACAGGCAGGTAGGTAGGTAGGTAAGTAGGTAGTTGGACAGGTAAGTAGGTAGACAGGTAGTTTCAGAGGTAGACAGGTAGGTAGACAGGCAGGTAAGTAGACAAGTAGGTAGTTGGACAGGTAAGTAGGTAGACAGGCAGGCAGGTAAGTAGGTAGACAGGTAGGTAGACAGGTAGTTTCAGAGGTAGAGAGGTAGGTAGACAGGCAGGCAGGTAAGTAGGTAGACAGGTAGGTAGACAGGTAGTTTCAGAGGTAGAGAGGTAGGTAGACAGGTAGGTAAACAGGTAGTTTCAGAGGTAGGTAGACAGGTAGGTAGAGGGAACGGTAGACAGACAGGTAGGTAAAAGCAGGTCAACAAGGTTGGTTTGAGTAGTGTGACAGGTAAGTAGTTTCACAGGTAGATAGACAGGTATTCTTGCAGGCAGGAAGACAGATATGAGGATTTCTACAAATATACAACAGGTTTTCTTTCTAAAATGCATCTCCCTCCCTCCTCTAACGTATCTGTTTAATGCTCGGGCTGAACCCTTTCCGATGTTCCCTTGTTTGCACTCAGCTAAAGGTTTCAGAGTCGACCCCCTGCTGAGATATGTGAGCGACGCTCCCTGAAGTTGATTCTGAGATTTAAAAAGAGCCACAGAGAAATCCTACCACAGTTTTTAAAGACAGTATTAATGTTTAAAACAGGGTGCAGACGACCTGCCGCTGGAAACAGTCTTGGTTTAGAGGGACTAAGAGACGGGTCAGAAAATATAAACATACTCGTCTTTCAACCCTGGAGACGTTTGGGAGTGAAATGATATTCACCGCTGCAGGAAGTGACCTTTACAACAACTGAACACCTTCAGTGTGTGCTTCCCCCTCAGGTATTACATCTACAGGAAGCTGCCATGTTTCTTTCATTGGAGACTTTCAGTTTTGCACATAATAGAATATTATTTTACTTTTGAATCCTAGTTTTTCCATGAGTCAAGCCATGTGTGTGCTCAATACCTTCGTCTAAAACTATGACTTGTGTCTTGAATTTAAATGAGCTGTGATACAAACACACGATTAAACATTTAGGTCTTAGTGGAGGAAGTTATTATTAAAACAACACCAAGAATGTTTAAATGATTCTTAGAGTTTGAGGTCCGTTTTGAAAAGCCAATCTAATTAACTACTAGAAGTTTGCTACTACATTCATATTTTTGGTTTATTTTAATACAGAAACAAAAACATATTTGGGGCCATCAAAGGAAAGACAATACTTTATTACAATTTATTTTATTCATGGTTTTCTATTTTAAATATTCTTTTGAAATGCATTTGATAGGATGATGAGTGTAAAAACCTTCGGTTATTTGCACATAAATATCTGCTGCTATTTTAAAATGACTTTTATCAGCTGCCCGTGTAAACAACATGTTTCCAAAACAATGCTGTCAAGTAAAAAAAGAAAGTCCAATACAACAATAAAAAGCAGAACCGAAAAGTGCTCGGTAAATAAAGAAATATTTGTTAAATGTACCCTAACTTTTGACACATTATGCCGTTTAATGTGTTTTTCATACAGAGTCTAACATCAAGAAATGTCCAAACTATACTACAAAGAAAATGCAACTCATTAGAGTGTGTACAACTTAAATGGCATTAACATTTAACTCTTTTAGGTAACGATTGAAACAGCTTTTTGGCGTGGGTAATATATATTGGTGGATTCACAGCTCAAAGTGCAGGATATTAAACGTTTAAAAAGGCGTTTAGTGATCAGTTGTGTGGAAAATAAGAAAAGCTGAGCACGAACAGTTCCTGGCACGGGAAGAAGAGATAACGCTCATCAAAAGAGACAAAGGAATCATTTAATTATTGTATTGAGTTCATCAGGTCACTGAAGTGTGGCCAGAGACTTCGTTTAGGACAATAACAAGAAAGGGACACAACATTCGTTCTAACTAAAGTCTAGAAATCTGAAATCAGGTGTATATCAGTATGTAGTGTCTCTACTTTAAAGAGTCCTCTCCTGCTGATGTTCAGGTGCATATCAGTATGTAGTTTCTCTACTTTAAAGAGTCCTCTCCTGCTGATGTTCAGGTGTATATCAGTATGTAGTGTCTCTACTTTAAAGAGTCCTCTCCTGCTGATGTTCAGGTGTATATCAGTATGTAGTGTCTCTACTTTAAAGAGTCCTCTCCTGCTGATGTTCAGGTGTATATCAGTATGTAGCGTCTCTACTTTAAAGAGTCCTCTCCTGCTGATGTTCAGGTGTATATCAGTATGTAGTGTCTCTACTTTAAAGAGTCCTCTCCTGCTGATGTTCAGGTGTATATCAGTATGTAGTGTCTCTACTTTAAAGAGTCCTCTCCTGCTGATGTTCAGGTGTATATCAGTATGTAGTGTCTCTGCTTTAAAGAGTTCTCTCCTGCTGATGTTCAGGTGTATATCAGTATGTAGTGTCTCTACTTTAAAGAGTCCTCTCCTGCTGATGTTCAGGTGTATATCAGTATGTAGTGTATCTACTTTAAAGAGTCCTCTCCTGCTGATGTTCAGGTGTATATCAGTATGTAGTGTCTCTACTTTAAAGAGTCCTCTCCTGCTGATGTTCAGGTGTATATCAGTATGTAGTGTATCTACTTTAAAGAGTCCTCTCCTGCTGATGTTCAGGTGTATATCAGTATGTAGTGTATCTACTTTAAAGAGTCCTTTCCTGCTGATGTTCAGGTGTATATCAGTATGTAGTGTCTCTACTTTAAAGAGTCCTCTCCTGCTGATGTTCAGGTGTATATCAGTATGTAGTGTCTCTACTTTAAAGAGTCCTCTCCTGCTGATGTTCAGGTGTATATCAGTATGTAGTGTCTCTACTTTAAAGAGTCCCCTCCTGCTGATGTTCAGGTGTATATCAGTATGTAGTGTCTCTACTTTAAAGAGTCCTCTCCTGCTGATGTTCAGGTGTATATCAGTATGTAGTGTCTCTACTTTAAAGAGTCCTCTCCTGCTGATGTTTAGGTTTATATCAGTATGTAGTGTCTCTACTTTAAAGAGTCCCCTCCTGCTGATGTTCAGGTGTATATCAGTATGTAGTGTCTCTACTTTAAAGAGTCCTCTCCTGCTGATGTTCAGGTGTATATCAGTATGTAGTGTCTCTACTTTAAAGAGTCCTCTCCTGCTGATGTTCAGGTGTATATCAGTATGTAGTGTCTCTACTTTAAAGAGTCCTCTCCTGCTGATGTTCAGGTGTATATCAGTATGTAGTGTCTCTACTTTAAAGAGTCCTCTCCTGCTGATGTTCAGGTGTATATCAGTATGTAGTGTCTCTACTTTAAAGAGTCCTCTCCTGCTGATGTCCAGGTGTATATCAGTATGTAGTGTCTCTACTTTAAAGAGTCCTCTCCTGCTGATGCTCAGGTGTATATCAGTATGTAGTGTCTCTACTTTAAAGAGTCCTCTCCTGCTGATGTTCAGGTGTATATCAGTGTGTAGTGTCTCTACTTTAAAGAGTCCTCTCCTGCTGATGTTCAGGTGTATATCAGTATGTAGTGTCTCTACTTTAAAGAGTCCTCTCCTGCTGATGTCCAGGTGTATATCAGTATGTAGTGTCTCTACTTTAAAGAGTCCTCTCCTGCTGATGCTCAGGTGTATATCAGTATGTAGTGTCTCTACTTTAAAGAGTTCTCTCCTGCTGATGTTCAGGTGTATATCAGTATGTAGTGTCTCTACTTTAAAGAGTCCTCTCCTGCTGATGTTCAGGTGTATATCAGTATGTAGTGTCTCTACTTTAAACACAAATAGATAGACATTTTTGGTATCATACTGTATTTGGTCTTTTGGCATCGGACTAATGTTTTTTTACCTCAAATAAGATGAAATTTGCAGAAGAATCAGTCGTACCCATAGACTGTATATAGGTCGTACCATGTGATCAAAGACTTAATATAGTAATACAATAAATACATACTTTTTTAATTGAATGTTTTTACCTATTTTAAAAGTGTTGAGGTGAAGATCATCTCAAATGTGTTATTAATGATGTTTTCAGAGAAGCTGTTGTACAAAAAAAACGAGTCAAAGAGACAAGGTTTATTTTTTACTGTCAGTATTTTATTTCAAAGCGCCCTCCCCGAACACTTTGAAGTAAACGGTAACAAACTAAAAAGAGAAATCCCTCCAGCGGGTTCTTCTCAGAAGAAAACACCTCCTGGGTCAGAGAGTAATGATTCAATCGCCGAATCACCAGTTATCTCTTTTATTCGAGGCTTCGACCGAAACACACAGAGAAAACACACAACCCATCGTTAGCCTCTTTTAAACCGAGAGGCGCCAAACACCGAGGAGACACAGAGAGCGTGAGTTTCAGGATCCAAAGAAACTGCTGTAGAAACATTTGATAAAAAAAAACCAAAAGTCAGCAAGAAATTAAACCATTTCAAAAAGAAAAGGCAGAAGTGTAACAGAAAGGGGAAATGGACGGGTGCAATATTTAAATGGCAGGAAGCACAGTATTTGATAAAGGTGGAAATGCAGAGATATTCCAGCTTGTATTGAGATGTGACCAAAAGAGCTTTTTTTCAAGTTCTGGAATAAAAGTCATAATTCTGAAACCGCGACACAAAGTCAGTTCTGACTCTAATCGCAGAATTCAGAGAAAAAAAGTCAAAAAATTGTTCACAGAATTCTGACTTTTTTCTCAGAACAAAAAAAAACACATCAACTTTTGGTCGGATCTTAAAAGAAATGTCGCTTGACCCTTATTCTCTTCCTAAGAAATCACAACATGAGCATTTTCTTATGTATTTTTCAATTATATTGAGAATAATTATGCAAAAAGTGATTAATCCCTCATCAATCCATAATCGTGCAAAAACTAAAACTGAATTCTAACCTTCTTAACGGTGCAAGAAACACATGGAAACAGCTGTCGAAACATCGATCAGTTAGAAAGTCAGAAATAACACCTTTACAGAGAGAATGATGAAAAGATGATAAATCCCTCGTTTATACTGATCACAAAATCTGTCAAAATGATAGTAATTGTTTCGAAATTGTGCAAAATGAAACCAAAGGAAGGGAAACGGTGAACGCCTGTGTGCTTTTCTCCAGCAGGTCAATATCTGAAAGTGGAAGGAAATGTCAGATATGGACCGTACAGCCGGAGAAAAGTCTCTCTTCCTCTCTGCAGGGTTTGTTGGGAGTAAAACTGAATTCTAACCTTCTTAATGGTGCAAGAAACAATGGAAACAGCTGTAGAAACATGTATAAAACCCAAAAGATCAGTTAGAAAGTCAGAAACAACAGCTCTACAGAGAGAACGATGCCAAGGTGGTCAGAAAATCTGTCAAAAATCATAGTAAATGTTTCTCAATTGTGCAAAATGAAACCAAAGGAAGGGAAACGGTGAACGCCTGTGTGCTTTTCTCCAGCGAGTCAATATCTGAAAATGGAAATGTCAGATATGGACCGTTGAGCCGGAGTAAAGTCTCTCTTCCTCCTCTCTGCAGGGTCTCCCCACCCCCAATACCCACATTTAGGGCATGGCGGGGTCAGCGATGGCGTGCGCGGGGTCGCAGGTGAAGGACACCGTGATGGCGAACCTCGTTCCCCATGAAACCTTCTCCACCCGATGGAGGTTCTCCGTGCCCGAAGAGAAGAAGGAGACTCGTCCTGAGGAGGAAACAGACGGACATTTTAGGAGAGAGGAGATATACACGGAACCATGCTGATAAAGACGGACTTAATATATATAAATATTCAGGATGTGGTACGAGGACTGGAGGCAGGAGAAATAAATAAATAGTAACAGAACTTTTTACTAATTGATGTTGCTTTTTGTAAAAAAAAAAGTTGACATTTCAGGAAATATTTTCTTTCTTTCCAACTTACTATTTCAGTATTATTATCGCTGCACTGAACTGGAGACAAGGCAATCGTACTGGTAGCATTACATTACATTACATGTTAGACGCTTTTATCCAAAGCGACTTACGTACTCAATACTGTGGACAATCCCCACAGGAGCACTTTGGGTGAAGCGTCTCAGGGACACAACGACTGCAGTGGGGTTTGAACTAGGGGTGCAACAACTAATCGACTTAATCCATTACCAAATTAGTTGCCAACTAATTCAGTCGTCGATTCGTTGGTGACGTCATCACATGTGTTTTACGCGCCGTTAAGCTCCAACGTTATCGGTCTTTTTATCGGTACTGGAGACATTTAAAAAAGATATGTCATGTATTATTGCTACATAAGCATTATATCCAGGGCTGCACATAACTGGTGCGCACCTCGGCCAAAAAAAGAGCACCGGGTCATTTGAAAAAAGGCGCATTTGCGTACCAACATTGAGAGAGAGAGAGAGAAGGGAGAAGAGAAAAGAGAAAAGAGAAAAGAGAAAAGAGAGAGAGAGCGAGAGCGAGAGAGAGAGCGAGAGCGAGAGCGAGAGAGAGAGAGAGATATTTGCGAGTTGCATATGAACTCAGGGCCGGCGCGTAGCACTGGCGTTGATTTTCGCCTAGGGCGCCAGATCTGTGGAGGCGCTGCGCTGGTAGTTCTGGGAGGGAAAAAAACATTTTTGACCGTTGGGGCTCATCCTAATTTTCGGGCCTTGATGTAACGATATTCATAATTAAGTAAATGTAACACCCTTTTCACCCCGGGTACACGTTTCATTTGCCCTGTACGATGGGTGCTGTAGTGTAAGTGATGAAAATGGGGGATGTTGGCTTATCTGGCGCCCGCAGCTCACAGCCAAAATGCGAGTGAGCGTGGGAGTGAGCGAGGGAGAAAGGGAGGGAGAAAAGGAGGGCGCTGTTGTTATTAGCATCTGGTGCTAGCTGCTCTAACGGAAGAAGAAGATGTTTCTACAATGATGTGGAGGGAGAGTCCTCTCCAGTCAGACTGAGAGGCTGATAACTACAGCTCAGTGAGGTAAAGGACTCTGAGTGTTTAGATAGTTCACTTTAGTCTAAGTTCAAACGGTTTGGTCACAATTTATGTAAACACATATTTCCAAGGCTCTCCTTTATAATTATTGGGATAAACAGGTTTGAAATCATTCCAATGTATACTATAGGACAGTAACCAAACATATCCTTTAAAACTGGACTTTCGACCCAAACCCAGCTGTTGACTTGTGGATGCAAGCAGCTAATCGCAGACTCAACCAGAGAGGAAAGAAGTAGGCCTACATCATCAGCTACCATGTCTGACAGAGAGGAAGACAGTGAGGAGAACAGTCAGGAGGGGAGTGATGACAGCTTGTAGGATTACTGGTCGTGCTAATGTTGTCTTGTGTTCGCCTCTGTGTGTGTGTTCTGTGTTCACCTCTGTGTGTGTGTTCTGTGTTCACCTCTGTGTGTTCTGTGCCGTGTGTCTGACAAATAAAGACCGGTTTATTTATTTCCATTTAAGGATGAGCACCAAGCAACATCTCCAGGTGCTCCTTTGAGAACCAGGGCAAACAAGTTATGTGCACCCCTGATTATATTGCAGTCTTAGTGTCGCCAACTAGTTTCTAATATGCAAAAAGACAAAAAAATGCGTCTATGATGTATTTTCGATCTTTCTCTCCCGTCTGTGTGCGAGGGGGCGGGGCAGTTCACACACGCAGCTGCTACATGCAGCAACACACTGCGGAGATGGCGGAGAGAACGCGCTCCGAGGTGGTTCAACTTTACCCGTCTCGATGCTCGTTACCTAAAGTGCAATAAAAGTTTAGCATGTGAGGGCGGCAACACGAGCAATTTGTCTAAACATTTATCAAAAGTGCTCCACATCCAGACGGAGGAATGCACCGGGTTCCACTGTCTTTCTAGCAGCTCTGCAGCCCCATCCACGAGTAACGTTTCCACGTCAGGTATTATGTATGCTAGCAGCAACACACAGAGTTAACCACATTATACAAACATGAATGATTAGAGGAAACTGAGTTATTTATTTTGTTAAAGTTTCAGCTATTCTGTTCACAGTTCTGTCATCACATTATTTAATACGATTTGTTAAAACGTTGTTGTTTCTTTTGATGTGAAATATTATTTATTTAATTTAAATAAAAAGCAATGTTAGTTTTGTTCACAATGTGTTAATTTAATAATATATGTATTTTTGAATCAAGTGTTCATCTTTATTGTCTTCATTGTTAGTTTCCACATGCCTAAAACACCTCAAGCTAAATCTAAAAGTTGATAGTTTGAGAAATTGTGCAAGGCATATTAGTCCGAATAATCGTTTCATTAATCGATAGATTAATCGATTATCAAATTAGTCGTTTGTTGCAGCCCTAGTTTGAACCTGTGCCCCCCTGATCCGAACACCAACGCACTAACACACTACGTCACACGCCTCCCACGGTAGCAGGAGAAACATTACAATTGTTTTAAAAAATACATTAGGTTATGAAACAAACCAACAAATATGCTTTATAATTTACAAAATATTTCTTGTTTTTTAAAGAAACATATTGGCAAAAACACTGGAAGCAGGAGAAATGTCTGAATGTTTAGGAAAGTGCACTCAAGTTCAGAGACCAAATACCCCAATCATTTCAATAATGTTTCTTGAAGATAAAAAGAGGATGTGGTTAGCCTAGCTTAGCATAAAGACTGGAGGCAGCAGGAAGCTTAGCGACCAACAGCCAATAGAAATCCTTGATGTTGGTCCATCAGATATTTTTGCATAATGTTTGAAAGTGTCTTGTCGGGTAAAAGTCTAACTTTGGTTTGCTCTATGCTAATTTGAACTGGGGTCAGGGGCGCACCTTGCAGGCAACTGCTTGGGGCCCCCCAAAGAAGGTAGATTAAGAAGGTCCACAGCAACGACAACATGAAACACCCTTTCATTTACTGCAACGACATGTCGGGAAACCCCCTACTGTGCGTGGTGATGAAAAGCTGGTTCGAGGGGCCCCCAGTGAATGTTTGCCTTGGGCCCCCACAGACTCTAGGACCGCCACTGACTGGGGTAAATCCAAAAGGCTGTTTTAGAATGCCCAAAAGTTTCTGCACCAAATGGTTGAAATTCAGCGAGAAAAACAAGGTGTTTCGGCGCTAAAAATACAATTTATTCATGGTTTTACAGCTGAAAAGGTAGCAAGAGAGCCAGAGTTGAAGTACTCTAAAGTGGATTCAAAGACAACGGGGGGACATTTTATCGGGAACATTTTAAAGATTGTTTTATCCCCTTACCCTGAGCCCTAGGTATGTGTACTGTAACTGTAATTTACACCTGATAATCATGGTATAGCCTTACTTTGGTTAGCTCTATGCTAACTTGAAATGGGGTGAATACACTAAATCCAGAGACTTCCTTAAAGTTTCTGCACCGAAATGGTTGAGACTCTGCTAGTCCGTTTGAGAGGGGTTATTCATGGTTTACAGCTGAAAAGGAAGCCAGTGTTGGAGTAGGCTCTAAGTGGATTCAAAGACAACTGGGGGACATTTTAAAGATTGTTGTATCCCCTTACCCTGAGCTCTAGTTAGATGTACCGTAACTCTTGCTAAAATGGCTAATCGTCACATGTACACCTGATTAACAGGGTCTAGGCTCACCGTTTCCATTCATCTCTCTGCTGAACTAGGCTTAACGTGTCCTGATGTGAAGCTATGCTAATCAAGAGGTTAACACGATGGATTAATAACATGACTGACATGGTTTTATCTCCTATCATTATCTCCACTTAGGTGTAACTTCCAATTAAACATGACATATTCTCCAATGACATGTCTGTCCATGACCCTATTTCCTCCAGTCGCTATGCTAAGCATGCCCTGATTTAAGATAACTTGCTTTATACGGTGAAGTAAGGACACATAGTATTAATTAGTTTAAGCTTTTCTCCCGTTTCCCAGTCTATATGCTAAGCGAGGTCCACCTCATCCTCACTCTGTATTTATTCCAGAGACACAAGTAAACATGTTCTCATCTCGTTCTGGGAAAGACAGTAAATAACTCAAAGTAACCTATGCAGACTTGCTTGCAGAAGTGAAGGAAATGAAACGAAGGGAAGCTGAAACCGCGAGGAGATAAACAAGGACAAAACTCCACTTTCTTTCTTTCTCTTGGACAGAAACACAGTGTGAGCTACGGGTGGTTCCTCCGAGTAAATTATCTTTATTTCATTTTATGAGAGGTTTTGATTCTCAAGCTAAGGAACGCAGGAATGCAATCTGCTCTGAAATGTGAGACATTCATGGTGACGTAGCTAGTCCCATGATAACTGTTTTCAGACTGCTTCCAGTTTATCCTCCTTTTGAAGGGGTTATCGTGTTATGTGAATAAAAGCTGGAATCATTCAGCCCTACATGGTTTTTCCTCCAAGAAATACTTACAACTGGTGTGTCTGCGTGTGGGCCTGTGTGTGTGTGGGCCTGTGTGTGTGTCTGTGTGCGTCTGTGTGCGTGTGGGCCTGTGTGTGTGTAGGCCTGTGTGTGTGTGTGTGTGTCTGCTTGTGTGTGCCTGTGCTTGTGTGTGTGTGTGTGTGTCTGTGTGCATCTGTGTCTGTGTGCGTGTGGGCCTGTGTGTGTCTGTGTGTGTGTGGGCCTGTGTGTCTGTGTGTGTATGTATGTGTGTGTGTCTGTGCGTGTGTATATCTGTTGCTGTGTGTCTCTGTGTGTGTCTGTGTGTGCGTGTGTGTGTGCGTGTATGTGTGTGTGTGCCGGTGTGTG